CACTGAAAAATATAATATAAAATTGTAAAAATTGTAAAAAAGTGCATAAATATGCATCTAAACCCCTGAAATAAAGAATATCATTAATATTTGTAATAAAAAAACAATAAATTAGAAGAAAAAAAAAAAAAAAATTTAAATAATGTGAATATAGTAAAGAAGAATATCAACAAGAAGCGTTCTGGTGATAGAATTCCCGGTGATGATCGTAAAAGAAAGGATATAACACTTGAAGAGAAGCTCGATTTTATCAACCTCAAAATCACCCTTCTCCCCCATCAAGGTAAAGTGTTACATTTACTGTATGATTTCATTATTAGATATGAATGTAACATTTATTTAGACTGTGCTATCCTTTGTGTTAGGCTAACTACTAAATTTTTTCGATTTCGAGTAATCTGCACCTAACCCTATTTTCTCCATAAGCCCTGTTATTTCTATTACGCGATTTTCCATAACACGATATTTTACAAGAACACAGTTATCGCGTTATAGCAGAACTACCTGTACATGGACAGAGAGGCTTAAATATACAGGGTGACCTTATAAAACATTAGGTCAAGTCATAATGATGTCATCCACTAATCCCCACACCAACACCAACACACATACAGGAGCTTAAGAGAAGGGGGCGACGTGACTAGTCAGGTCAGGTCAAAAATAAGGGAACTTACACGTCTCTCCTACGCTGTGTCCTTAATCTGTCAACAACATCCTCATCTTCGCCCCATCTATCGTAACTGCAAGAAGAGTTTGCTGAAAGCTCAAGTTGAAGTTTTTGAAAGATTGCAGAGATGATAAAATTGTTCCTTCCAAGTAGACTAAGACATCTGGACAATCAAGCATTCTCTGAGTTGGATAAAGTGCTGCTGGACTCCCTTATCAGGAGTTCAAGTGATAGTGTAAAATTAGCTTTTAAACACAGTGCTCAGTGTAAAATACTTATGCAAATCAGTGTTTGTGTTGATAAGTGGCATACCATTCGTGATTTTGGATATCAACTTCTTAGTAAAAGTGACAAAGCCCAAAAAAGAAAGTTAAATGCCAAATTAAATGCTCTGTTTGACGAGAGTTACTGGACCATATTGCGTGATCCAAATTTGTTCATAAACTTATCATCTTAAGATCTACAGACAAATGAGAAGCTTGTTCTTGGTTTTGGTGTAAAGGGCTGTTTCTTTCTCTTTATAATTTACTCTCCAGATATTCTTTTCTATTATTATTCTTCAATTTTTTATTTATAAATGTATTTTATACTCTTGCTGATATTCTTATATAAGTAATTCTTTCCTTAGTTATGTACTGTATGTTCTTTAGATTAAACTTTCATGGCGTAGTTATTTAATAATTTCTAGGCTGTGTCTTTAGTTCCACAAATTACATACATGTCTTATCTGTCTTTTCTTATACTTTCCAAGTCTTTCATTTCTTTTCATATACTGTATATTATATTTTCTAAATTTATGTCCTTACCTTTCTGAAGTATTTACTCTGTTTTACTTATATTCTTATACATGGGTTAGTCTGGGGAACCATGTTATTCTTAGTACAACACTTTTTATACTTACAAAGGGTAACTGCCACCACCCAGCTTTTTAGTATATAACATAACTCATGGAAAGTTTTGGGTAATGTGGTAGATGTATAGGCACGTGAGTAAGTATTATTTTCTGGAAACCAATGTTTAGAAGGAATAGAGTGGTGATACTCGTAGATTACTAATTCATTATTTATTAACACAGTGAATGGATAAGATGCATCTTAAATTCACTCAGACAAAACAGAACTGCAATTACTTATTAAGTCATCAAACACTTCAAGAACTTATCACCTCCTTAAACACCTCCAAGTATTTATTACTTCAATAGACAATTGTTGTATTATTCCTTTGACAAATGAGATTCAGTAATTATTATACACAAGATATCACTGGACCCTCAGGTCTTATTTTAACAAGTGACAAATTACCTCTTCAATTCTTGGTTATAACATTATGCTCTCAGGTTATTGTTACAGGTTCATTACCGATAAATACAAAACACACTGGACAACTCCACAATGATAGCAACATACAATACCTCAGGTTCGTTCGCAAGGAACAACATGGCACCTTGAACTCTCATTCAGTGGTTCAATACTTAACCTGGGATACTATACTTCTGCTAGTTATCCCTCCAAACATGGGCCGATACTGCGCCATGCAAATAGATGGACTACAATCACCAGGTGGAGTCAGCGGGGCACATTTGTTTACAGCGACCGCCAAGCTGAAGGCTCGCTCGCTAGGTGCACCCAGAGAGGTTGACTCGTGATAAACTGGCAGAGTTGTTGATGGCGCCTCTCGGGGGAATCGCGTCCTGGGATTCTAATCGCGCCCCCTTAAAGACATCCTTCGAGAAACATCTTGCCCCTAGGCAGCCACCGAACCTCAGGAGTAGTGCTAACACACAATCAGCATCCTGGAGACGTGGAGGAGAAATCACAGAGAGAGTGAATATTTAACTTCACTAAACAAACATACGTCTGGCAACGGTCCAGACGATATCTAAATCTCTACTTTACTCGACTTAGTTGGCACAGAAATTACTATGTTAAAACATGAACACTGATATTCACAAAATTGACTAAGTTAAACTGAATTAATATGGCGGTGTGGAACACACGTTAGCATACCTGGAGACATGGAGGAGAAATCAGAGGGAGTGATTTTTCCTTGCGGGCCGGCATATATACGGGCCTGAGGGCATATTCCTACTAGAAAGACTAATTTTACTAACAATAGACCCTCTCTTCAAAGTAGTCGTTGGACACCTAGCTGTGACCGTCAGTGTCACAGATCAGGCCAATTATCTACATCTATATTTATGATTTAATCAGAGATTGAGTTTGTCAGTAAAGAGGTGAAATGGAGTTATATAAGCGTTCGCAACTCTATTGGCCTGACCGCAAACCACATCCCAGGTCAAACGGCCGTTAAGTCTCGGAGAATTTTGAGTTTGACAGGAACTGTTCAGGAGATTAATTACTTTTTTAAATAGACAACTGACACTAACTAAACTATAAACATCAGATTCTCTGATGTCTGGGCGACAAAATAATATATCTTCAGTAGAGATCAAAAACCCATGGGTATCCCCACGGACGACATAAAATACGCCACTCTAGCTGGCAAACTCAACACTCACTTACTTGTCACGTTTTACTAACAATAAGGACAGTTGAAGCGTTCAACACCACTCACAATGGATCTTGAATGTTCCAACTGTAAACACACATATCTACTGTAAGTTGACTCAAAACAAGGGTGCTCTCTCTCACATTCAAATTCATTTTATAGAGAGGTTGGTTTCAGTGAGTCAGAGAAAATGGGATAATGGAGGACTGAGGCGTCTTGAAGTGATGAGAAAATGGACTCCTCAGATGGATGACTCAAACGAAAGCAGAATTACATGTTTTGTGGGCTATTGAGCGTAATATGAATCATTTGATTTTGGCGCTAACTGACGTGTATGACCGTGGTCTTTATATTGGTAGGAAGTTTCTATCACTCAACGGTGCATTAATCCGCTTACTATTGCTAAAGGCATAATCAACCTGGAAAAGAAGAAGTCGTTAGATGTTACAAATGAAGATATTTCCACAGCTAACGGTTGTATACATAGTGTTTTACATAAGAAATTTGTTTGAAACATTCCAAAAAGATTTGAAACAGCTTTGATAAACTTGAAAAGAAATAAGAATATCCATATTACTAAGGCTGATAAGTCTAATGCTATTGTAATTTGGATAAAAGTTACTACAATGATAAGATGAATTCATTACTAAGTGATGAAAGCACGTATTGTGAGCTTACGAAAGATCCCCTGGAAAATATAAATAAGTTATCTAATTCCAAAATGAAGATGTTATTGAAAAAGAACCCCGATCTCATCAAACAGCTCTCTCAAATCAATCCCACTTTACCTTATATGTATGGGTTGATCAGAACACACAAGTTAACAATCCATTACGAGCTATCGTGAGTTCTGTTACTTACAAATTATCCAAGTTATACTGCCAGACTGGGGTCACTAATCCTAAGGGGGAATACTTAAATCTAATCTTAATTTCTAAGGGTCGCTGCCACCAGACCCCCTCTGGACAGTATGTCACTCGTTAGGTAGCGGGCAGAGTGGACTAGGCATTGGGTTAGGTTTTTCATTGACCAGATCGATAAGGGAAAAGAAGGGTGAAACCACAACATGTCTTAGTTCTTTGAAATATTCCTTCTACTCACTTCAGTTCATTTTTGGTACTACCTAACCACAGTTCTTCTTGGTAGCATGTCGATGGTCTAGGCACATGGGTAGTGTAATTCTGATATCAGGGTCACTTGGACGGAAATAAAGGTAACTACTGTGGGAGAAATGAATACTCCTAAAATTCTCAAAGAACAAGTTTATTAATATAAAATCAAAGAACATAAGAACATAAGAAATTAAGGAGTCTGCAATAAGCCGGTTGGCCTGTGCATGGCAGCTTAAATCTTATTAATATAAAATCTAAGGGGAAAATAGATGTTATTAACATATAACTACCAGGCTCAACTACTGGGCCTATTGCAGACTCTGTATTTCTTATGTACTTGTTTCCTTATTTTCCTATTTACTCAACAGCAATTATTCAGACATTACACTCTTACCGTGCACACAATAACTGGTGTCACCTTACATTACATCGCAGGACCAGTTCCTTGTCCTTACTCCCAATACACTAATACTGATACAAACACCGACATGGGTCCACCACCCAACATGGGGTAATTATTAACAAACACATACGACCACACTGTGGACCATAACTCCAAGGCCTGTTCCAGGGTATAGCATTGGTGCCTCTAACAACTGCTGTTGTGGTCGGTTACACTCTGACACGAGGCGGGTCTGGAGTCCTCGGCCCACGAGGTAGAGTAGAGCCGATTAATCATGCCGAATCAGCGCCATCACTCCTATATTGACTACTGCTGGGTATCCACCGGCTCCGAGCGACCGGTGGGTTTCACTTAAGCCCCCCCTCGATCTGAAAACGAAGGTGAGAGGTGATACGGGAGGTCTACTCCTCCCGCCTCGCACTGGTTTATATACCCCTGAGTTGCCAGCGATCGCTACTCACGCAATGACAGAAATTACAAACAATTTAACTGTTACTCATTCAAGGATGACCCTCAGTTGACAAAGGTCTGGTGAATTGCTAAAGTTAATTTACACAGACTAATTCAAGGTTACGTTTGCCAGAAGAGAGTGCAATAAACGTAGTGACAACTGTGTTCGAAGGCGGGACTTACTGGGAGTGATCCTGAGTGTAAAACGGATGGGAAAAACACGTCTCTCCTGAGATTCTACAAGTGCGGTGGATTTGAATATTATGGAGGAAGATCACAGGAGGATGGAAGATCATAGGAGGATGGAAGATCATAGGAGGATGGAAGAAGATCACAGGAAGATGGAGGAAGATCACAGGAGGATGGAAGATCATAGGAGGATGGAAGAAGATCACAGGAGAATTAAGGAAGATCACAGGAAGATGGAGGAAGATCACAGGAGGAAGGAGGAAGATCACAGGAAGATAGGAGGATGGAAGAAGATCACAGGAAGATGGAGGAAGATCACAGGAGGATGGAAGATCATAGGAGGATGGAGGAAGATCACAGGAGAATTAAGGGAGGAAGATTAGGAGGAAGATCACAGGAGGATGGAGGAAGATCATAGGAGGATGGAAGAAGATCACAGGAAGATGGAGGAAGATCACAGGAGGATGGAAGATCATAGGAGGATGGAGGAAGATCACAGGAGAATTAAGGAAGATCACAGGAAGATGGAGGAAGATGGAGGAAGATCACAGGAGGAAGGAGGAAGATCACAGGAGGATGGAGGAAGATCATAGGAGGATGGAAGAAGATCACAGGAAGATGGAGGAAGATCACAGGAGGATGGAAGATCATAGGAGGATGGAGGAAGATCACAGGAGAATTAAGGAAGATCACAGGAAGATGGAGGAAGATCACAGGAGGAAGGAGGAAGATCACAGGAGGATGGAGGAAGATCATAGGAGGATGGAAGAAGATCACAGGAAGATGGAGGAAGATCACAGGAGGATGGAAGCATCACAGGAGGATGGAGGAAGATCACAGGCGAAGGAGGAAGAACAGGAGGAAGGAGGAAGACTACAGGAGGAAGGGAGGAAGATCACAGGAGGAAGGGGAGGAAGATCACAGGAGGATGGAGGAAGATCACAGGAGGATGGAGGAAGATCACAGGAGGATGGGAGGAAGGAGGAAGATCACAGGAGGGGAGGAAGATCACAGGGAGGAAGGAGGAAGATCACAGGAGGATGGAGGAAGATCACAGGAGAAGGAGGGAAGGAGGAAGATCACAGGAGGATGGAGGAAGGGAGGAAGATCACAGGAGGAAGGAGGATCATAGGAGGAAGGAGGAAGATCACAGGAGGAAAGAGGAAGATCACAGGAGGAAGGAGGATCACAGGAGGAAGGAGGAAGATCACAGGAGGATGGAGGAAGGAGGAAGATCACAGGAGGAAGGAGGAAGATTACAGGAGGATGGACAAAGATCACAGGAGGAAGGAGGAAGATCACAGGAGGAAGGAGGAAGACTACAGGAGGAAGGAGGAAGATCACAGGAGGAAGGAGGAAGATCACAGGAGGAAGGAGGAAGATCACAAGAGGAAGGAGGAAGATCACAGGAGGAAGGAGGAAGATCACAAGAGGAAGGAGGAAGATCACAGGAAGATGGAGGAAGATCACAGGAGGAAGGAGGAAGATCACAGGAGGAAGGAGGAAGATCACAGGAAGATGGAGGACAGTATAACCAACAGACCAATATAACATTCCTAGAAAGATCACATTATAATTCACCCCATTATTGTTTATTCCTGTCATCTGGTACTCAAATGAAAAAATCCTGACATTATTTAGTTATGAGAAAGGGTCAAGACGTACCTGGCGCTCCTCTCAGAGCAGCCAGGTCAACTGCTATGTTGGCCCATACCAACTCCCTCCCCTGAACCCTCCTCCCCACCGGAATATCAACAAGTTCACGCCAGAAGTCACTATTTCATTTAGGAAAGAAATGGAACCAGTGTTAAACAGAGGTGAACAGTGGTGAACAGTGCTTAAGTCAGTGAGAACAACTCAACAGTAACAGTGGTACCCAAGTTGACCTTTCACACAGTGAGGTCCCAGGTACCCAGTGATAATGGCCCATGAGACCCAACTACCAGCGATGTGTTAATCCGTCTACGATAGGAAGGCCTGGAACCACACCTCACTCATATAACACCATCTGTGAGGGAATTACTACACCACGTGAGGCCCCTCATAACACCATCTGTGAGGGAATTACTACACCACATGAGGCCCCTCATAACACCATCTGTGAGGGAATTACTACACCACGTGAGGCCCCTCATACACCATCTGTGAGGGAATTACACCACGTGAGGCCCCTCATAACACCATCTGTGAGGGAATTACTACACCACGGAGGCCCCTCATAACACCATCTGTGAGGGAATTACTACACCACGTGAGGCCCCTCATAACACCATCTGTGAGGGAATTACTACACCACGTGAGGCCCCTCATAACACCATCTGTGAGGGAATTACTACACCACGTGAGGCCCCTCATAACACCATCTGTGAGGGAATTACTACACCACGTGAGGCCCCTCATAACACCATCTGTGAGGGAATTACTACACCACGTGAGGCCCCTCATAACACCATCTGTGAGGGAACTACTACACCACGTGAGGTCCCTCCTAACACCATCTGGGAGGGAGTTACTACACTACGTTTTTGCTGTTCAACACCTACATTAATCTGTATGTTCACTGTATGTTCCTTTACCTTTCTCTAATGAAGGCTTTTGTTAAACCACCAATGTATGTAATAAGTCATTTATGCCCAATGTATATTTTCAGCCTTCGGGCTGCAGAACTTTTTCAATAAACCGTTAATTATTATTATTATTATTATTTATGTTTGGAGTAATAACAGTAATAGTACTGACTGTCAAAGTAATATGAATGAGGTTAAAAATTATGTTCGTTTATATGTGACTTTGTTTTGCTTTTCTTTTCACTCAAGATATGAAGATGTCTTCTGTTGGTGTGAGTGAAGGAGATTCCAGATCTGTTTCTGTGAAAAAATCTCAATAAATCCACTTGTGTGACCATCTGTGTAACCACCTGTGAGCCAGCAAAGTTTATCATAAATCAAGGGGGTCAGTCTTTTGCTTGCAGATCACCTGGAGAATCTCCGCCCTAGCTTATTCCAGCATGAGGTTAGGTTAACATTAGGTTGGTTAATCATTAGGTGATATAAGCTGTGTTGAGATTCTTCAAGAAATCCCATTTAGCTACAATACAATTACTTTTAGTTACTGTACTATACTGTACTGTACCTACAAATTTTTCTGTATAAAGTACACTAAAAAAAAATCTTACATTTACCAATATAATAATTTCTCTTAATTCTGATCAAGTAGTTGGTTCCTAATGGCCTTGTGGGTTAAGACACTTGTTGATAACCTCCAGAAGGTGCGGGTTTTCTAGAGCAGCAGCCACACGTTCCTTGTCACTCAGCTGCTTGTTAATGGCGTGTTCTGAGGAGTGAGTTCCTGGGGTAATGCGGACATCTACCTTGATCCTGCGAGTGATGATACAATGTTACAGAGTGTGTTGGAGGATGAGTTTATTACCTCAAGATTAGCCACCCTAACTTATATCACTTCAATATTAAAATATCCTACTGCTAATCTGATCTAATCCAACATATAATAATTTAATTCAACCTAACCTAACCTCATTATGGTGGGCAACAGGGAACTTAAACAAGTGGAAAATTTTATGTGTTTGAGAAGTAACAAAGTTATGATGGTAGATGTACAGAAGAAATCAAAACATTTAAGGGGCAAACAATAACAGCATTTAATAATCTAAAAGACCAAATGAAAAGGGACATTAACTTCAATTTGAGAATATGGCTGCCGAGAGGACTGACGTATGGGTCAGAAGCGTGGACACTTTCACCAGACAGAGGTTGGAGGTCTTTGAAATGTGGTGTTATAAGCAAATGCTAAGAATAAGCTACACTGACAGGAAAACAAATGAAGAAATACTAAGATTAGTAAAAACTTCAAGAGAAATACTTAAAATGTACAGAAAAAAAGATAAAATTGATACATTGGTCATATAATTAGGGATGAGGGGACAATAACAGAAATATTAATGGGTAAAGTTGAGGGTAGGAGGACCAGGGGAAGGAAGAGATAAGTATGGATGAATGAAATTAAAAACTGGTTTCTCCAGAGAGTTAAAAAACCTTAGAGTATTGGTAAAAACAGCCTGAGAACATGTAGAGTGGAGGACTGTGGTTGATAACCCTTAGATACGAGGATGATACTCTGATTGGATGATTGAACCCAGTCTAACCTAACATAACTTATCCTTACCTAATCTAACTTAACATATTGTAATCTAACACATCAAAATCTAATACAGTATAACCTAACATGACCAAATCTACTTCCAAACAGGGAGGTACTACCGCCTGGGAAGACATTAGAAGCATAATGTGTTGTCTAATGGTAGACCCTGCTGCCATATGTGACCAAGTCCCAGGTTGATGATCTGTCTTTCTGCCTCATTTACACACAAATGCAGGGTCTCAGTTGTTTCCCTGACAACACAACATACATATATTATTTCTCACTATTGATCTTTTTTATTCATATTTGTATTTCTTTATGGTTCTTTATTATTATTATTATTATTATTATTATTATTATTATTATTATTATTATCATTAGTGTTGTTATTATTATTGTAGTTATTATTATTTTATTATTTTAATTTTTAATTTTGTAGTTTTTAATATAAATTTTATTTATTATAAAACATTATTATTATTAAAATTTCCCCAGGCCCCGTTGTGGGTCAGTAACCTGTGCCCGGGTGGGCTAATACCCGTAAAAAACAAAAAAAAGCCCTACACTAAACAAAATTATCCATATCCTATCCTTATCTAATCTAACTTAACATATTCTAATCTAATCTAACCTAACAGGACCCAATCTAATCCATAACCTAACCTCACATTTTTTTTTAATACGGGAATTAGCCCACCCGGATACATTTGAAGGTCCCACAACGGGGCCTGGGGGGCAAAAAAAAGAACAGAACGAAAATGAAAATAGAGAAAAAAAAGGTTATACAGCTCTACCCCGACTTACGACGGGGTTAGAGACCCAAATCCAGGTCGTGAAGTCGATATGGTCGTAGGTCGAAAATGCTTAAATAATACAGGGTACCTAGAAAAAAAATGGGTGTCTCTTTTTTCTTCTCAGCACCACGAGAACTCTCACTTTTAAGCTTGCCAGCCATTTTAAAGTGAATTACAAACGAAAATTTTGTCTGTGAACTGACGTTGGGACTCAAAAATACGTAATCTGACAAAATTTTGGTACGACTGAGGCAGGTAGTAGGTGAGGGTGGTCGTAAGTCGAGTAGGTCGTAAGGCGGGGAGGAGCTGTACTGTGTTAATCAACGCCACGAAGATGCTGGAAAACCAGCTATTTAAAGTGAGACAGATTGTATAAGTATGGAAACACAGAAGAAGGCAGAACATTCCACAGTTTGCTGTGTGAGGAAAGAAAGAGGTACTATAACGGGTTATTCTCGTGTGACCGACATCCACAGAGAAACGGTGGGCACCGCGGGCAAGACGTGTGTTAAGAGATCATGGCCTTGCCGGCGGTACACAGGATGCCAAATCCACCGAACATTGCCTGTTAAAGTACCTGTAAAAGAGAGAGTGAAGCAACATTGCGGCGAAGAGAAAGGGAAGAGAGATTGTCGACTAAAGGAGGAGAGTTAATAAGACGAAATGCCTTTGATTCCACCCGATCTAATAATTGGACAGAAGAAGAGCCACCCCAGATATGAGAGCAGTACTCCAAGTTAGGACGAATGAATCCCTTATATACTTGGAGCAACTGCTCAGGAGTGAAGTAGCTACGACATCTGTACAGCATTCCCAACTTTCGGGAGGCAGCTTTAGCTATATTAACGATGTGTGATTTCCAGGACATATTGGAGGAAATGGTGAGGCCGAACATATTTATTTCAGAATTTGGCACGATGATAGCGTCCTGAAATGTAATTGGTGGGAGATGGTGTAATTTACAAAGTGAAATTGGTAAATATTGAGTTTTATTACTATCGAACTTAACCAAGTTTGTACCTCCCCATTCAGAGGTGCTGCACAGATCCGCATTGATAGAAGTAATGATATCAGTTCTAGAAACAGATCTAGTTTGAGAGTTAGGAGGAAGGGGAAAATGTGAAGAAGAGTGAAGAGTAGAATCATCAGCATAAGAATGGATAGAATTAGTTGTAGTGTGAAGTAAATCATTGATAAAAAGAAGGAAGAGAGTTGGTGAAAGAACAGAACCCTGTGGGACACCACTACTGGTAGAGAAAGAGCGAGAGATCGATCCCTCGACAACAACTGCCATGGATCGGTTCTCAAGGAAGCTAGAGAAGAGAAAACAAAGTGGGGGGAGAGAAACCATGAGAGGGAAGTTTAGAAAGCAAAGACTTGTGCCATACCCTGTCAAATGCTTTGGAGATGTCGAGGGCTACGACAAAAGTTTCCTCATAATCCCTAAGAGAGGATGACCAAAGACGGGTGCAATAGGAGAGCAGATCACCAGTAGATCTCGCCTGGCGAAAGCCATACTGGTGATCCGACAAAAGAGAAAGGCGTTCAAGGCGATGGAGAAAATAGGAGTTTAAGATAGTTTCGAAAATCTTAGAGAGGGATGAAGTTAGGGCAATGGGGCAATAGTTAGAGGGATTAGAATGGTCACCCTTCTTTGGGATGGGCTGAACCAAGGCATGCTTCCATGAAGAAGGAAAAGTTTGGGTTTTGAGGGAGAGGCGAAAGAGGCGAGCAAGCACAGGGGCCAGAGCTTCAGCACACTCCCTCAGAACACGAGGGGGTATTCCGTCTGGTCCATTCGCCTTACTCACATCCAACCTGGATAACACACCGGCAACCCTGCGAGTGGAGATTATAGGAAAGTGCATAGATTTAGTAGGAAGTGAAGGGGTAGGAGGGATAGAGTGGGAATCATCTAAGGTGGAATTAGAAGAGAATAAGGTGCCAAAGAAGTTGGCTTTGTCAGGGGGAGAGTTGGCTATAGAGTTATCAGGTCGGAAGAGAGGAGGAAAAGAAGGAGTACAGATGTTTTTGGTTAAGGACCAAAAGGATTTACTAGAAGAAGAATTAGTCAGGACAGCGGTCTTTCTTTTAATAAAATTCCGCTTGGCCCTACGAAGAATAGCCTTACAACGATTCCTAGAAGTAATGAAAGAGGTGTAGGTAATAGGAGGAGGAGATAGTTTCATAGCTCGATATGCCCTATCTCTCACCCTGCAAGCAAGAGGGCAGGAGCAATCAAACCATGATTGTAATGTGAAAGTTTTGGTAGAAGATGGGATAAATGCACTCATACCGCCCTGTATAACCCCAGCAATGCTGTCAACACATACCGAGGCGTCCCGATTGGAAAAGCAACATTCATCCCAAGGAAAGTCAGTGAAGAATTCTCGCAAGGATTGCCAGCTTGCCCTCCGATAGTGCCATAGTTGACGTTTAGAGGGGGGTGGGGGAGGTGGTCGTGCCCAGTTTGATTTAATAGAAATAAGGTTGTGATATAGAAGACCCAAAGGGGGCAGAAATTGAGTATGAATAGTGTGAGGGGTTAGAGGTAAAACAAAGATCAAGAATGTTAGCAAGTTGATCGTGTCGATCAGGAACGCGTGTAAGGTGTTTGATTATTTGTTCCAAATCATAAAGTAAGGAAAAAGAGAGTACCTCAGCTCCACCTGGATCATCCCTTGCAGAGCCAAGCCACTCTCTGTGATGAACATTGAAATCCCCTAGGTAGAGGATCTCGGTGTTGGGGTGTGTGGATAGCAACGACTCATGGCAAGAAGTGAGACAGTCAAAGAGTTCGAAATAGTTGGTAGAGTTGGGAGAACAGTATAGGAAACAAAGAAAAATAGGCATAGGTGGTAGAGATATTTTGAGCCAGATGACATCATAAAGGGAAGATTCAAGATCCGTGAGTCGGGCTATAGGTGTACGTGTGTTGCAGTAGGCGCATACACCTCCCTTAGAACGGAAGTAGGTATAAAGGTTGTAGTTAGAGACTTGAAAAGGTTTGGGTGAAGCTAATCTAATCTAATCTATAACCTAACTTATCCTAACTAGAATTACAACCTCTACAACACATAACCACCAACATATGCTCTCAACCTACCTGGCAGGGAGGGCTTGGAACAGCTTAAGCCTGATGCTAAGGCCAATGAGTGAAGCCATACTACAGTGAGGTATCGTGGGGGTGAAGTGAACCATGACGGAGTTCTCCTCATCGCTCACCTCACACTGTCTCTCTGACACCTGCCAGAGAGGAGTTAATTAGTATAAACACCTGTGGTTATAGTGGTATATAGATAGATAGATAGATTGATAGACATAGATAGATAAATAGATAATACTGTATAGGTAAATAGATAGATAGATAGATAATACTGTATAGGTAAATAGATAGATAGATAGATAATACTGTATAGGTAAATAGATAGATAGATAGATAATACTGTATAGGTAAATAGATAGATAGATAGATAATACTGTATAGGTAAATAGATAGATAGATAGATAATACTGTATAGGTAAATAGATAGATAGATAGATAGGAGGGTAGGTAGGTATAGTCAAAACATACACAATAAGCCACCTCACCACATTCAACTCCTCGAGGCTAAGTGGGTGTTCCGGGTCCCTGATGTTGCGCACCAGATCAAACACCTCGCGGGCATCAAAGGGATCGTACACCTCGTCGTCCCAGTCCGTCACGTTCTCTACCCTCGTCTCTGCCTTGGCGAACACTAAGGGGTTGATGTTCTCCAGTCGATCGTTCCCGGACATAGCGTTTCTTGTTTTGCTGCCATGGAGAAAGGAGCCGTTTTTATTATAATTTGTATTAATTTTTATTACTGATTATTATATTTTTGACCCCCAGGCCCTGTTGTGGGTCAGTGACATGTGCCTGGGTGGGTTAATACCGGTTCAAGGAAAAAACTCTCTATATAATTTATTTGATGGGCGTTTCATATCTAATGGAACCTCCATATAACAGACTTTATTCACTATACAGTCAACCCTCCAAGATTTGGACTCTGTAAATCCGGATTTTGGAAGATTCATGAAAAAAAATTGTGGGTTCTGGGCTAAGAAGCCTCCCTAAGAAGCATTCCCCAAACAAAGTGAAGATAGTTTTAGGCTTAAAGTTTTTATGTTATAAAATGTCACAGACTAAACTTAGCAGAATATAACTTGTATTGCTGGAATCCTTGTAAGATACTGATTAATTTATGTATAAACATCACATAGTGAGGCATTTGGAAGCCTGGTCTAAATGTTCTCAGTAAAGGGGTTTATAATCCACTGTTAAGAAGCAGGTTGCTCCTCAGTTAGTTCAGGAAAATAACTGTTGAATTTGTCTAACATCTTTGACAGGTGTAATGTTACCTGCGGTTTGATCACGTTGAAATTCACGTTTCTCTCTTGAATGAACGCACGCATCTGTTGGAACATATCAATAATTCCTGACGAGGCACCAATTGACCACGACTTAAGCTTTCTTTTGAATGACTCAACTTTTTCGTACTGGGAAATGCTGTTTGTGTTTGCACCTTGCATTGTTTTGTTCAGCTTGTTTACTTCATTGAATTTATCTGCAAGATAGCAGAGTTGAACGAGCCATTTCTTGTCATTCAAGAACTGTGCTAGATCGGGCTTCTTCTCCGAGAGGAATGTACACGACTCCTCCCTCAGGCCGAATAAGCGTGTGAACATCCGCCGGCGAGACAACCATCTCACCTTTGTGTACACGAGCAGGGAGTGGTGGTCCGATCCTACTTCCTTGCAGAGTGCAGTGAACAATGTGGAGTTTGTGGCTCTTGCTCTAACCCTTACGCCCCGGGCCAGGGTGCCAAGCAAGGGGTAAAACGAGAAAAATCTACTTTTCACCCAATTTTTTTTTAACCTTTATAAATGATAAAACAACAAAAAAGACAAGAGAAAAACTATACATTGTCCTTCTATATTCTTCTGTGGCGCCTCAGTGACGAGACAAATAAGGGGAATGTTTTTATTTTACATCGAGCGCTCGCTGTTACTATGCACTTAGGGGTCATTTTCTCACTTGTCTTTGTGTCCGAGTTGGCCAATAACGCATATATTTACTGATCATAATACTTATTTCCTATAAATAATTCATTTCAAATTAATTTTTTTGCATTACTTTTCAAAAAGAGTACTTGGCGACACACAGCAGTCTGTCACCAGCTCTCTGGCTGTCTTTGTGTTTGGTATCACAAGTAATACATAAAATAATAATAATTCCACAAATAAATACATTTATAACATAATCATAGCATTATTTTACAGTAATACTACACTACAATACAACTACACTACTTTTAGCAATATTACTTTGATACAACATGATAAAATGGACAAGCAATTAAAATGAAACAAGCAAAAGAAGTTAATTATGTTCAGGAAGCTTCCCTGTGGCCGAGGTGTGGCGTGACAGGCAAACAGTCACACGGGAACCTGATAACCTGCGCTGGACATTTAAACAGCGGTGGGAAAAGGCGAACACTCTGGAACGTCACCCGGGGCGTAAGGGTTAACAAAGTTCACGATGGTTATGGCAGTGTTCATAACTGTGTGAAGCCCAGGTTCAATGTCTTTTGTGGAGAGCATTTCTCTGTGCAATAAACTATGAGTTGAAATGGCACGGGGAGCAACTTCTTTTATTCTGTGCACGACTCTCTTGTGCCTGCCAGTCATTGCTGATGCGCCATCTGTACATATTCCAATACAGTTTGTCCAGTTGATGTTATTATCCCTCATAAAATCATCCAGATTTTGAAAAACTTCCGTGCCTGCCGTTGTCGTCCTCATATCTTTGCAAAAGAAAAAAGTCTTCTCTTATCTCCTACTCCCACTCATAGCACACAGACGCCAGTAGATGTAACATTTTGGACACATCTGTTGACTCATCCAGCTGGATGGCAAAGTCATTGTCACAGAGACGTGCAGTACACTGTATCTGTCTGTCCTCAGACACAGACGAGATGCGACGTTTTACAGTGTCATTCGATATTAGTATTTTTTGCCTTGGTTTTCTCCTCCCCTTGCATTTCCCTGACAATCTCAATTGTACAGGGCATAATCAAAGTTTCCCTGATCGTGGGAGGCATCCTATGTTGAAAAATTTTCTGACCCACAATGTATGAAATTTTAACTAACCTTTTATCCACAGTGGTAGTGACCTTCATCCCGACTTGTATACCAAGCAGTTCTTTTGCCTTACGCCAAAAAATACTCTTGGCTTATCCATATACTGGCCATGTTTCGTCTGCAACTGTCTTATTAACTTGGAGGGTTTCATTCTCTCACTGGACAGCATTTGAGAGTAAAGAACACACTGTGGTTGGGCAGTGCCTTTACTTGCTGGGCTTACTATGAAGCCATAGTTAAGGTAAAGGTCATCATATTTCATAATTTTTGGCTCCCTAACATGAGCAGAGCTTTTCTTCCTCTCACTCGCAATGGATGTGACCTCTGACTCATCATATGAAGATTTTGACTCATCACTGTGTGGGTTTCGTAGTTCTTGTTTTGATGAGAATGGCCGAGTAATAAATTTGTCCATTTTCTTCGCAGCTGGTGAAAAGCACAGTCTGGAAAAACAAACAAACATAAGGCCTGTTATAGCACGGTCAAAAAAAAAAAAAATCCAGAAGACTCAATCACATCAATCATGAATCCATGACCATGACTCGTGGCTCAATGGCTGAATACAGCGATCGTGAATTTATATGACTATGGGTCAAATACAGGTTGACAACCCTTTATCCGAAATTCCGAAAACCGAAAAACTCTGAAAACCAAAAGTTTTTTGTGGAGCAATTTTTATTTTTTTTATTTTTATTTTTTTTTTACAGGGATTAGCCCACCCAGGCATAGATCACTGACCCACATCGGGGCCTGGGGGGCGAAAATGTAATAGTAATACTAATTATAATAATAATAATTTTAATTAAAAATACACCAAAATAAAATAATAATGATAACAATAATACTGTATTAATAAAATAATAATAATAATAATAATAATAATAATAATAATGAAATACAAGAATGAAAAAAGATAAAAGTGAGTAACATGACCTAGACCTATGAATTATTATTATTACCTGTATTATTATTATTATTATTATTATTATTATAATTATTATATTTTCGCCCCCCAGGCCCCAATGTCGGTCAGTGACTTGTGCCCGGATGGGGTAATAAAAAAAAAAAAAAAAACTAACCATTCTGAAAACCAAAAAATTCCGAAATCCGAAATGCCTCTGGTCCCAAGGATTTCGGATAAGGGATGGTCAACCTGTACGTTTATAACATGATGATGTGAACACCTACCACATAGAGAGTCACCAGCCTCGCCACCCACGCACTCAGCTCCAGACACCCAGCAGAGGGAATACTGCCTCCACCCCGGGCTGACATATTTATATGGCACACCCCCTCTACCACCCAGTCAGTAGCAAGCCAATGACAAACATCCCCGGTCACTGCATAATCACAGCGGCATGGAAAAACCACTCCCACCGAAGCTATTGTGCCATGTTATGTCACCCCTACAGCAGTGTTGCTAACATAAAGTCACCCTCCTGACGATTGTAACTGTATTGCCAGGTGAAAAATTACCACCTGGCTGAACCACAGCGAGAGACACTTGCACCTTATACATACAACAAGCTACTGTACGTCACATGCTGTTTGTTTCTCTCAAAACACACACGCACACTAAGAACAAACAGTGTGAACCTCTCATTCGAATGCACGGTGTGTGAAAGATGTATTATAGAAAATGGAAGCACTATATGGAAAACTCGACTGATTCAATAAATTTTCCCTGCTATCCCATGGACCTCTTAGCAGCTTTCTACGGCTCCCTTGGGGTTCGCGGATCCCCGGTTGAGTCTATATAATGGAATTTAATCTTTACATTGCCCATTAAATGGGGGTTTCACATCTAACGGAACCTCCATAGAACGGACTTTACTCTTTACATAGTCTGTTAGACTTTGTTGATTATTTTTGGAATATTTAGAACTACAGTCGGCCCTTCACATACGCGGGTTTAGCATTCACGGATTTGCAAATACACGGATTGCCCCGCCGGAGGAATATTCTGTACATAGAAGTAATTGAAGTACATTCAAATCGCGCATGGCACCGAACACGGGACACCGCCTGCTCCCGCAACCTCACACACACACGCATAGCTCTCCCTCACTCAGTCAGTCTCGCTGTAACCACGCTTGTGTTGACATCAGCATTGTAGTTGCAAAAATATTACATTTCCGTGAATGTATTATATCAAGCACAATATGAATAGAATATCACTAATATAAGAGTATTTTAACCGAAAACTACTAAAAAAAGAGTAACATATCTTGAACATCAGAAGGTTAGGTAAAGTCTCTTGTTTTCGTCATGTATTTTATCCTATTTTACATTGAAATACATCACGTTTCAGCAAAACTACTATTTATTTCTGAGAATATATTCATTCAGGCACAGTTTAGGTAAAATATACATGTGCTGTAACATTTTTTTAATTGAAAACGATTCGAAAAACACGTACCCTCTAGCCCTGTTCAAGGAGAAGACTGGGAGGAGCTGTTTGGTGCTTAAGATGATGACAAGGAAAATGATTTTGATGGATTTTAATGAAAATATTCAGAAAGACCCTGGCACTGTCAAGGAAAGTGACTGCTGAAGGCTTCCGGGACATGGCAGAGGACGAGATTAGGGAGCTAATTGAAGAGCACGACACTGAGCTGACCGAGGAGGATCTACAGGAGTTAGTAGACTCAGGTAAGGAAGAGGAAGCGAAAGGGAAAGAGGATGAGGAAGAGGAAGAGCACCAAGAAATAACGTTGGAGAAGTTGGAGGAGATGACCAGGAATATTGAGGCACTGAAAAACCTGGCCTATAGTATGGACCCCTCCATGGTGCATGCCCTGAAATTCATGCGAGGGATGGATGACGTTTTCGCTCCATACAAAAACATCATGGAAGAAATGAATGAAAGAGACGACAACTCCCCATCACCATGTTCTTTGATCACCGAAGGAGAGATTTAACACCAATCACTGGCGGCAGTGAGGAAGCAGCTGAATCCACCGTCGCCCCCACTTCACCACCCGTTATAGAATTGAGTGACGATGAGCCCGATGACCCCCGTCCTGTCGCCGAGGATAGGTACTGTACAGTAAAGTGAAGTTTTTATCTCTTTTTTTTTAATAGCTTTTCTTGCCATGTTTATTGTTTGTAAAAATGCACAGTACAGTACAGTTCAGTACTGTACATAGGAAGTGGAGGTGCAGTTATTCACAAAACATTTGTGTTTGTTGTCGGCAGTAGTGACGGTGGAGGTGGAGGAGGCGGAGGAGGGAGCGAGTTGGGAGGAGTGGTGACCTTGGACGCGGGAGCAGGGACGAGTGGAGATGCCAGCCAGTACATTACGGGTGTATTAATTGTTTTTATAGCTATTTTTGCATTTTAACATTAAATACTGTACATTACGTTTCAACAAAACTACCATTTATTTCTGAGAACATGGAAATGTAATATTTTTGCTGAAATGATGTACGTATTACAGTGGAAAGTGACGAAAGCAATGACTCGCTTTCTTTCGTTCAAAAGATGTTACCGTAATCGCTTTTCGAATGGTTTTCAGTTGTGGAATTATAAGGCTAATGATAGGATAGAATATTATTGTAATACAGTACGAGTACAACAGTTTTTTAACTGAAAACCATTCAAAAAGCGATTACGGTAAAATCTTTTGAACAACGAAAGAAAGCGAAAGTCATTGTTTTCATAATTTTATCCCACTTTCCACTGTACAGTAATATGTACGTCATTTCAGCCAAAATATTACATTTCCATATTTATTTCTGAGAATATATTCATTCAGTCACAGTTAAGGTAAAATATACTTGTGATGTAATATTTTAATGAAAATACAGTATCGTAGTTTTCTTTTGAATCAAATTTAATTAACAAAGATTGATGTTTCAAATGTAATGAACAAAAATTTATGTACAGTATCTATAAATAAACTTTAACAAATGAATACTTTGTTTTACATCGTCCTGTGTTACCATACCATGGATTTGGCTACTTTGGGCTAGCTATGATGACGCAAGAGACTGCCCTGGCGACTGTACCGACACTCACAGCTGGTGGTGCGTTGGTGCGTCGTTTCCATTGTTTGCTGGTAGTTACTGGTAAATATTTTTCAACCTAACGAAACTATTACCCTTTAAGAGGTCGACCCCCAATTTTTTGCAAAATAATTTGGTCTTAAAAACTCGAACTACATACAGGTATATGCGGTAAATAAGGACATGGGGGACCAGATTTTGGGGCAGCAAAAGTACACGTATTTTTAACATTCACGGGTATCTCTGTTACCTAACCCCCGCGTATGTTAAGGGCCGACTGTACTGTTCTGTAGCCGTCAACTGATCATAAACACTATTATTATTATTATTACAGGTAATAACAGCATCATAAGCTGGGGGCCTAATTTTCATCTCATTACAAAATTATGCAAAAATCACTACTTTGTTACCCAAATTATATAAAAATTACCACTACTGCTTACCAAAACTATATAAAATCACAAAGTTTTCTTACCCAAATTACATAAAAATAAATATTTTTCTCTCAACTAATATATATAAAAAATACAACTTTGTCTCCAATAAATTATATAAAAATAACAACTTTTGTCTCCCATAAATATAAAAATAAAAACTTTTGTCTCCAATAAATTACAGTCTCCTCGACTTACGACAACCCGGACATACGACGGCCACGGTCGTATAAAATATTTTTCACATTACGTATTTTCGAGTCCCGACGTTTGGTCGTAATGTGACGCCATATGATAGCTTGGGACGGGCCGCCTCGTGGTGTACAGCATCTATGCCGTAGCCCACTCAGTTGGTGTTTGGCCGTCGTTGTTGTTAGTGGTCGAGCTGTGTACTGACAAAATTTTCGTTTGTAATTCCCTTTAAAATGGCTGGCAAGTGTAAAAGTGAGAGTTCTTGTGGTGCTAAGAAGAAAAAGAGACAGTCAATTACTTTTGAGATGAAAATTAAAATAATAATTAATGCAATATGAAAATGGGAAAACAGTAGCGACCATTTCACGCAACCTTGGCTTCTCTCAGTCGACAATATCAAAAATTTTGAAGGATAAGGAACGAATTCGTGAGGTAGTGAAAGGATCAGCACCTATAAAGGGAACAATAATAACGAAAAAAGACAAGGTCCTCTTCATGAGATGGAGAAATTACTTGTGATGTGGCTGGAAGATCAGATACAAAAGCGTGTACCCTTTAGCCTTCTAACCTTACAGGCTAAGGCAAGAAGCTTTTTCGAAAGCCTGAAAGAGCAGGCAGGAGATGAGTGCGACCAAACCTTCACAGCAAGTCATGGGTGGTTCCAAAGGTTTAAGAAACGTTACAATTTACACAGTGTAAAGGTGAGTGGAGAGGCAGCAAATGCTGGTGTGGGTGCTGCCGAAGCTTTTAAGGATGAGCTAGATCGGGTCATCGTGGAGGGAAATTATTTGCCTGAGCAAATATTTAATGAGGATGAAACTGGCTTATTTTGGAAGCACATGCCAGAACGGACATACATCCACAAAGAGGCGAAAACCATGCCGGGATTCAAGGCATTCACGGACCGAATCACACTACTGTTGGGGGGAATGTAGCTGGTTTCAAGGTAAAGCCCTTCATGATATACCATTCAGAGAATCCAAGGGCTTTTAAGCATGTCAGCAAGCACACACTGCCAGTGTTTTATCGCAGTAATAAAAAAACATGGATGACCCTAGTACTGTTTGAGTATTGGTTCCTGACTCGTTTCATTCCACGAGCCAAGGAGTATTGTCTGCAACAAGGGGTTGCATTCAAGATTTTTTTAATTTTGGATAATGCTCCAGGACACCCACCACACCTGGACGACCTGCACCCTGATGTTAAGATAGTCTACCTTCCACCTTACACTACCTCTGTCATCCAGCCCATGGATCAAGGTGCTATTGCTGCTTATAAAGCGTATTATTTACGTATGACCTTTGCTCAGGTTATTGCTGCTACTGAAGGTGAGAAAATGCTCGGGGAGTTTTGGAAGGACTACAACATTTTGCAATGTACAGTAAAAGTCCAAAAATCAGGATGCCAGAAATCCGGACCACCCGAGAATCCGGACTTTTCGAAAACTCAAACCATTTTTTTTTTTTATTTAGCGGGCTTTTGTGTGTATGTGCGCATGCGTGAGCGCCACAGCTGCACAGTGACAACAAGTGACCATGTGGTAGCCATTTTAAAACGAGCAAGCAAACTGTGACAACATACAGTATGTAATTTTGAGTCCTACTCTTTCCGTTGTGTGAAGAGAAAGAAGAACACGTTAAAATTGAGTGACAAACTTGAAATAATTAAGAAACTAGAACGTGGTGTGAGCAATACTGTTCTAATGGAAACATACGACATTGGAAAGTCTACAATTTATGATATAGAAAAGGCAATGAATAAAATTCTAGAATTCACAGCTTTTTCTTTAAAACTGCTCGTTTTGATAAATGAAGCATGTTATATTTGCTAATGAATAAACTATCAAAATGTACCTGTTCATCTCTTGTTTATTCCTCCTTAAATTTGAATTTAAAAAATACTGCCTGAGAATCCGGAAAATCCGAACCGACCCAATCCCCAAGCAGTCCGGATTTTTGGACTTCTACTGTACAAAGAACATAGCTGCAGCATGGGATGAGGATACAGGTCAGTGCATGAATGGAATATGGAAGAAGGTCCTGAAAAGATTTGTGAATAATTTCAAAGGATTTAATGAAGATGAAGCAATTTCTGAGATTAGTAACAAGATAGTGCAGATGGGTAAACATCTGGAGTTAGAGATTGATATTGAAGATGTTGAGCAGTTGGTGGAAAGTGTAGCAGAAGAGCTAAGTAACGAGGATCTTATTGAACTGGAGGCAAAGAAATTTGCAGAGGAAGAGAGACAAAATGTAGAAGAACCTGCACCCTCCAAAAGTTTTCAGTGAAACAAATGGCAGAGGCATTTGTTACTATTAACAAGGGGATGCAAATGTTTGACAGAATGGATCAAAATGTTGAACGTTTTGCAAAAATTGACAGAATGGTCCAAGATGCACTTGCTTGCTACAGGGAGATTTACAATGAAAAAAAAAAAGGCAAACTGTGCAGTCTAAATTGGACATCTATTTTAAGAAGTCCCCCATTGCTGTCTCCTCACACCCCACCAGTGCTGCCTCTTCACTCCCTAAAGATGATCCAATACCTTCAACCAGCAAGTTTCCCCTGTACATAAACCTGTCTGAAGAAAGCAACATTCATGACCCACCCAGCCCTGTCTCCTTCTGTTTCATCCAATTAATGTAGTCTCCATGTTTAATTAAAAAATTATGGGGGCCCCGTGCACATTCAGCTGACTACATTAAAGGTAAGTGCACAGTCACACTGTATTCATTCTTCATTATTGATTACTTTTACTGCACTGTATTTCATTTTAGAATTTCTATGTATTATTTTTGCCTTTTCGACTTAAGACCAAATCGACTTACGACCTGGTCGTCGGGACGGAACTCCGTCGTAGGTCGAGGAGAGACTGTATATATAAAAATAACAACTTTTGTCTCGAATAAATTATATAAAAATAACAACTTTTGTCTTACCCAAATTCTACAAGAGCGTCTTTAAGATTCTTGAGCTGAATTAACACAGATGATGTTCTCGAACGAGCCACTTAGTGACGGTTTCCTTGAGAGTTTTGGCAATGTCGAGGTCGTCTGCTTCTTTGGGGTTTGATAGTTGTGAACTGACAACCTGGGAGTGGGAAATACAATCAGTTATGTTTTGAAGGTTTATGACAATTTTACAGTTAGGTTATGTTAGTTGTGTATGAAAACCCTAAAGCAATAATGTATATCATATGGAATTTTGCATATGGCAACCCCAAGAGTGTTAAGTTAGGTTAGGCTAGATTTGATTAGACCCAATTAAATTAGATTAGTGTCAGGCTGTTTTAGAATCACACACCTGTGCAGCTCGTTCCTTGAGGGAGTACAGAGGAAGGCAGATGAAGGCTGGTATGTGGCGGGGGCTGACCTCACCATACACCTTCTGCCCTTCTTGTAAACAAGGCTGAAAATAACCTTAATAAGTGGAGTCTGTACAACACTGGGAGGTGTTGAGAGATAAGGAAACTATCTTTCAATCTGTTTGTCTATCTATCTATCTAAGTATGACATTCATCCTGATTGTCTCAACGTCCATGACTAAAATTTTTAAGTCTGTATTCTCGATGCATAAAAACGTCAACAAATATATTTTATGTCTCCCCAAACATGATCCTACAGCTGTGACTCCATCTCTCATCATCCTACCTTGGGGAAGAACACCTCCTCTGAGTCAATCACAAAGGCAGCTCTCGTCTCTGAGTCACGGAAGACCCAGGGGTGCTTTACGCGGGTGCTTACATGTAACTGTTCTCCGGGTTTTAGTGTCTGGCGGACGATTATGCTAGTTTATTACACATGAAGATTAGCCCTCCTAGTTTATTACACATGAAGATTAGGCCTCCTAGTTTATTACACATGAAGACTAGGCCTCCTAGTTTATTACACAAGAAGATTAGCCCTCCTAATTTATTACAAATGAAGATTAGCCCCTAGTTTATTACACATGAAGATTAGGCCTCCTAGTTTATTACACATGAAGATTAGGCCTCCTAGTTTATTACACATGAAGGTTAGCCCTCCTAGTTTATTACACATGAAGATTAGGCCTCCTAGTTTATTACACATGAAGACTAGGCCTCCTAGTTTATTACACAAGAAGATTAGCCCTCCTAGTTTATTACAAATGAAGATTAGCCCTCCTAGTTTATTACACATGAAGATTAGCCCCTTAGTTTATTACACATAAAGATTAGCCCTCCCTCCTAGTTTATTACACATGAAGGTTAGCCCTCCTAGTTTATTACACATGAAGATTAGCCCTCCTAGTTTATTACACATGAAGATTAGCCCTCCTAGTTTATTACACATGAAGATTAGCCCTCCTAGTTTATTACACATGAAGATTAGCCCTCCTAGTTTATTACACATGAAGATTAGCCCTCCTAGTTTATTACACATGAAGATTAGCCCTCCTAGTTTATTACACATGAAGATTAGCCCCCTAGTTTATTACACATGAAGATTAGCCCTCCTAGTTTATTACACATGAAGATTAGCCCCCTAGTTTATTACACATGAAGATTAGCCCCTTAGTTTATTACACATGAAGATTAGCCCCCCTAGTTTATTACACATGAGATTTACCCAACACAACACAGGAAGCAATCCCCCATTACTGTACCTTAACTTTCCTGCATTTACCCTGGTAGTTGTACCAGCACACATCGACTTTTCTCTGAGTACAGTTCACAAAATTCACGTAACTCTGGGCCTGTTGTGAACGGGTTTGTGGGTTAATTCACACGTAAAAAAATCCTTAAATTTGAACTAAAGGGAAAATATGAAGTAGCTAATGTGGAATAAATAAAGCTTATAGATAAATAATTATATGATAGTGTATATAACAATTCGTTCGTTAACCGAAAATTTTGTTAACCGAATCTATTATTTCAATGGGATATTGGGTAATCGGTTCCAGTTCACAGAAAAAGTACACACAGGGATCCCTCGGTTAACGAGTTACCTCCCGTAAGATTCTTAACTTCGGTTAACGAACAATCCCTCGGTTAACGAGTTTCTTACGAGCCGACCTCAACATGTTTTCGCTTGCACTTGGCGGTCAACCAGCTGTAGTATTAGTCCGCCAATACAGTAATCGGTTCTAGGGCTTAAATTCCTTACTATTTTAGTAAATACCAAGAAGTTTATACTATTCAATAATATTAAAAGTTTAATATTAAATTTTTTAGTAATTTTAACAATTATTCAACATAATTGAAGGTAAAGTCACTAGTTTTATGCGTGCCATCCACCCTTTGAACACACCAAGCAAGCGTTAGTCTCTCTCTGTTTTCAGTGGAGGTAACATCTTGCTTGAGACTCTCTTCAACTAAACGCTTTTTTCTATTTTTACAAGCAAATTATTGGTCATTTTGAAATTTATTTTACATATTGACAATATATAGCGCAGTGCAGTGTTATTTTAAAGAAAATATTCTTTATTTACAGCTACAGTAGTTTAAACTTAAAAGATGTGTTGACATTGTTTGAATCCAGCATGGGGCCTAAGAGATCAAGAAAAGAGATTTCAATCCAAACCAAGCAGGAAATTATAAAAAAATATGAACAAGGCATTAGAACAAATGCGCTATGCAAAGAATATGGCATGTCGACATCAACTGTGTCGACAATTCTTGCACAGAAAGACAAATTTAAAGAAGTGAACGTGAGAGACAAATCTACCAGTGTTTAAAAGTAGATCCCTAATTGCAGAAACTGAGAGGTTACTTCGCATCTGGATTAGGGAAAAACAGATGAAAGGGGATTCAGTTTCTACTGAATCCATTTGTGAAAGAGCCAGGGAGATTTACGAACATTTAAAGACAGATCAACCTGGTTCTTCAGGCACAGCATTTGAAGATTGTAGGGCCAGCAAAGGCTGGTTCGAAAAATTTAAGAAAAGAAGTGACATTTTCAGTGTTGTTAGGCATGGTGAAGCTGCTAGTGCTGATAAGGAAGGGGCAGCAAAGTTTTTAGTGGAATTTAAAGAACTGATGGAAGAAGAAAATTATCTTCCACAGCAAGTGTTCAATGTGGACGAAACTGGGCTGTTCTGGAAAAAGATGCCCAAAAGAACATTCATCACCAGAGATGAAGTCTCTTTACCTGCGCATAAACCCATGAAAGACCGTCTCACTCTATTGCTTGGTGCCAATGCTTCAGGGGATTTCCGACTGAAGCCTATGCTTGTCTACCACTCTGAAAACCCCAGGGTGTTCAAGCAACAGAAAGTGGTAAGAGGAAAGCTTGGAGTTTATTGGAAGTCCAACCGTAAGGCATGGGTGACAAGACAGCTCTTTAATGAATGAGCTGTTGAGGTGTTTTGCCCTTGTGTCGCTACCTAACCACCAATAAACTCCCTTTAAAGGCTCTTCTCCTCATGGATAATGCCCCTGGTCATGACCCTGAACTTGCCAGAACTTTGGAGTCTCAATTTGACTTTGTGAAAGTGTTGTTTTTGCCTCCCAACACTACATCAATCATACAGCCAATGGACCAGAATGTGATCAGCAACTTCAAGAAGTTGTACATGAAGAAAATGTTTAGGAGGTGTCATCAGGCAACTTCCACTGATCCTGAACTAACACTGAAACAGTTCTGGAAGACACAATTCAACATCCTGGAGGCTGTAAAATTGATTGTGTCATCATGGCAAGAAGTCTCCACTAGATCCCTCTATTCTTCATGGAAAGCACTGTGGCCATCAGTAGTCCGTGATTTTGAGGGATTTGAAGAAGAAACAGAGTTGGACCAGGAGATTGTGTCCATTGGTCAGTCATTGGGCCTTGAAGTGGAAGAGGATGATGTCGAAGAGCTTGTGATGTCTCATGAGGAGGAACTTACTCCTGATGACTTGAAGCAACTGGATGAGATGTTAGAGGCTGACAGTGGTGAGGATGAAATTGAAAGTGATGACCATATGTCAACTAAAGAGTTGAAAGATGTTACTTACTACTGGGAGAAGTTCAGGAAACTGGCTTCAAGGCACCCAGATGTGGAAAAATCTGAATTAACTTTGTGTCATGTTGAGAACTCAATGGTCTCCTTTAAACATAAGTCAATGGTGAGGAGGAGAGATGCCCCACAAACCACAAATGACACTTTCTTCAGTAAAAGGCAGAGGGAACAAGATGCTAGCCCTCAGCCTTCCACTTCAAGAAGGAGAGAGGATGATGCTAGCCCTCAGCCTTCCACTTCAAGAAGGAGAGAGGATGTTCATGGTGGAGAATCTGTCAGTCCAGAGGTTCCTGACATTTTCATGGAAGGTGACTCACTTTCCAATAAGCAGTAAAATGCTTCTCCTCCACCTCCACTTCCTTCTCTTCTCCCTTCTCCTCCTCCCACTTCAAATTCACATGAGCATCATCATCCAGGAGCCTTCTACATACACATCTAAAGGTAAGTGTACGTTTCTAAAATTTTTTTTGAATTTAGGCAATTTTCGGTGAGCTGGAACCAATTACCCAAAAACCCACTGAAACAATGGTTTCGGTTAATGAGATTGAGGGACCACTGTACTGTACAGTATACCAGTAATACTAAATACAGTACTGTACTGTACAGTATACTGTACAATAATAAATAAAAAACAATAGAATACAGTTGAGTCTGGATTTATGCGGTTTTTGTTTACGCGTTTGGTAATTTACGCGGTGCCTTGCCAGAATCGAAATGCTTTAATTACACGGTAAATTTGGTCATTTAAGCGGAAAGCGGCGCGGGCAGGGTGCGCACAAGGTCGCCCAGTCATCAAAACATTACCGAGTTCTTCACCCGCCACCCACCACAGCCGACCCAAGTCAGTGATAGCGATAGTGATAGTGAGGATATGGACTTTGAGGGGTTTGACAAAGAGGCCCTGCAAGCCTATGTGGTGGATAGTGATACAATTGATACAAGTGATACAGGTGAGGGCCAATAATCTGCCCTCTGCCTTGGAACCAACCCCCCATCCCCGTGTGCCCAGCCATCTTTTCTACTAACGTAAGTGTTAAAAAACCTAATATAATTGATATTTCTCTTAATTATTAATTGTGTGTGCATACCATCATAAAATTAAGATGTTATTTTGACTACAAGGTACATATTGTGTTGGAAAAAGTGGAGTTTGGGGGTCAGCCCAGTCTCTATTTCAATTAATCCCATATGTTCTGTTATTTCATTTACGCGTTTCTCGTTTTACGCGGTACTCCACGGGTTCAATTGACCGCGTAAATGAAGACCCAACTGTACTGTACTATAACTTACTTTGAGGTGTGTATGTCGTATTCCCGGCAGATTTGTTTACAGTGGTCCCTCGGTTAACGAGCACAATCCGTTCCAGCAGGTTGCTCGTTAACCGAAACCATTGTTTCAATGGGTTTTTGGGTAATTGGTTCCAGCTCACCGAAAATTGCCTAAATTCAACAAAAAAGGTAGAAAAGTACACTTACTTTGAGGTGTGTATGTAAAAGGCTCCTGGATGATGATGATGGGAATTAGAATGGGGGTGGAGGAGAAGGGAGAAGAGGAGGCATTGGGGTGGAAGAGAAGTCACCCCATGGCACCATTTCACCCATAAAATTTTAGTTCTCTTGGTGTAATTCAAGATTATTTTCTTTAAATCAACACTGCACTGCATTATATATTCTCAATATGTAAAATAAATTTCAAAATGACCAATAATTTGCTTGGAAACACAGAAAAAAAAGCGTTTAGTTGAAGAGAGTCTCAAGCAAGGTGTTACCTCCACTGAAAACAGAGAGAGACTAACACCTGTCTGGTGTGTTAACAGGCTGGATGGCATGCCAGAAACTAGTTTCTTTACCTTCAATTATGTTCAATAATTGTTAAAATGACTAAAAAAATTAATATTAAACTTTTAAAATTATTGAATAGTATAAACTTTAGATATTTACTAAAATAGTAAGGAATTTAAGCCCTAAAACCGATTACTGTATTGGCGGACTAATACTACAGCTGGTGGACTGCCAAATGCAAGCGAAAACATGTTGAAGTCGGCTTGTAAAAAACTCGTTAATCAAATGCAAGCGAAAACATGTTGAAGTCGGCTTGTAAAAAACTCGTTAATCAAGGGATTGCTCGTTAACCGAAGTTAAGAATCTTATGGAAGGTAACTCGTTAACCGAAATCTTGTTAACCGAGGGATCACTGTACATATCAAACAGCTGATTGTAGAGGCAGTCGATGATGACATGCCATATCTTTTCAGAGTGCATTGGTTCGAATGCCTTCTTCATGTTTCATAATAATTTCTGCACTGTATATTATCAATATGTTAACTAAATTTCAGAATGACCAATAATTTTAATGTAAAAATGCAAAAATATTCAAGAGACCAACAAAATCGATGTTCACTCCAATGTAAACAAAGTTAAACTGAGAAGCGTTGTTGGGCTATTCAATCAGGTGATGGGCACACAAAAACTGTTCCCTGTTCTGTCTATATTATCAATATGTTAACTAAATTTCAGAATGACCAATAATTTTAAAATAAAAAATGCAAAAATATTCAAGAGACCAACTTTCTTGATATTTACTTCACTGGAAACGAATGTAAACATAGAACCAATTACAGTACAGTCGACCCTCGTTAATTCGGACCCCTTTAATCCGGATTTTGGATAATTCGGACAAAATCTGAATGAACTTTTTTTTTTTTTTTTAGATTTGTAGGAATATTACCTACGCGGACCTTAAGCTAAAATGCTGGTCAACCCACTGCTGGGATAAAAC